AACTGGGTTTCAGAAATTTGGCGCGCAGTAAGGTAGCAAGATTCTCTGGCCGAACTGGGTTTCAGAAATTTGGCGGCCAGTAAGGTAGCAAGATTCTCCGGCCGAACTGGGTTTCAAAACCCGTGGCGGGCGCTAAGGTAGCAAGATTCTCTAGCGGAACTGGGTGTCAGAAAGTTGGCGGGCAATCAGGTAGCAAGATTCTCTGGCCGAACTGGGCTTCACAAAATTCAAGGTTCTCTAGCCGGACTAGCTTTCAGATAGTGGAGAAGTGGTGAGATTCTCTGGCTGAACTGGGGTTCCAACAACTTGACGGGCAGCAAGGTAGCAAGATTCTCTAGCCGAACTGGGCTTCAAAAATTTGGCGGGCAATATGGTAGCCAGATTCTCTAGCTGAATTGGGTTTCAGAAATTCAGCGGGCAGTATGGTAGCCAGATTCTCTAGCCGAACTGGGCTTCAGAAATTTGGCGGGCAGTAGGGTAGCAAGATTCTCTAGCCGAACTGGGCTTCAGAATCTTGTCGGGCAGTAAGGTAGCAAGATTCTCTGGCCGAACTGGGCTTCAGAAATTTGGCGGCCAGTAAGGTAGCAATATTCTCTGGCCGAACTGGGTTTGAAAACCCGTGGCGGGCGCTAAGGTAGCAAGATTCTCTAGCCGAACTGGGTTTCAGAAATTTGGCGGGCAGTAAGGTAGCAAGATTCTCTGGCCGAACTGGGCTTCACACAATTGAAGGTCCTCTAGCCGAACTACGTTTCAGAATGTTTTGGCGTCACGTAGTTTCCGCGTCACGTCGCAGCGCGTGGTGCGTAGCGGTACCCGGCGGTCTACTGGAACGTCATCGTGGCTTTATTTCTATTTTGTGCCCGCCTTGCCCCCCCAAAAAATGTTTCGCTCAACGCCAAGTGCAACAAACTTGCCAAAATCCACTCCACACGCACGTCGGAAATCTTTCAACGCCAAATATTCAGAAAAGGCAAATCCGCACAAACATCGCAAGTCGTTCAACAAAATACGATAAATTTACCAAAAAATGCAAATCCGCACAAACGTCGCAAATCGTTCAGCGCCACATGAAATAAGTTCTCGCAAATTAAAATCGCGGAAGCATCGTAAATCCTAACTCGTTCAACGCCAACGTCGTAAATCGTAACTCGTTCCACATCGCGTCATCCACGCTCGCTCCCCACTATAATTCAAAAACAAAATTCCATGATGAAACAATGAAGTGCATCTCGCAGCCCTTCTTCTTTCCCAATTCGCCGTTGGCCAGTCACTCTCAAAGCAAAACGGGTCCTGCAAAATCGAACGTAGAATCTGCCGCTCATCAGAGCACATTGGTGCGCGCAAGGATCCCTGCGAACTGAACAAAGGCTTTGACAAATCTTGCAAAGCTTTGACAAGTATTGAAAATCCAAATCATCGAACCTGCAACCTTCAAACTTTTAAAGCCTGCGCCCCACCTTGAAGTACAACGGCTCAGGGGCCAACAAGCGCAGCAAGCGTGCTCTTAGCGAGTCCACTCTGGGTGAGCTTCCCATTGCAGGAAACAAGTCGGCCGCCATGTTGACAGAGTAGACTGTACAAAGTAAACATTAAAAGTAGAACCTTGCATCTACAAATTGTGCACGACAACAATTCCCCACGCGCGAGACCGACTGTAGGAATAGGATAGATGAGCGGCGAGCTCTCATATAGGCGTCTGTCTAATATGGTATTGATGGACCAATGATTGTTTCTTGGAGCTCTTTGCAGCGATGCGCAACTTAAGGCCACAGCAATGCAGTTGAGCTGTCAATAGCCCAAAATCAAAGAACGGTAACAAAGACACTGTAGAACATAACTAGGCTTCCTCTTCGCGCATTTGGATCTGACACAAACCTGTGATCCTGTCTAGGAAGCTGACCACTCTACAAGTGCCGGAAACAGGGAGACAAATTGATGTCTGAATCAAAGCTGGGAGACAAATGAATAGACATGTTGCATCGACATCGGAAAAGGGCGGACACCACCAGCGACAGACCTGGAAGACAAATGAATAGACAATGAAAAGAAGTGGGAGACAAATATGACAAATGAAACGACGTGGGAGACAAGCCAGCCGCAAACCCGCGACCACAAGCACCCAGCCTGGGAGACAATGAAAAGAACTGGGAGACAAATGAAAAGAAGTGGGAAAGGAAGTGGGAGACAAGCGGGAACCCGACCACAAGCACCGAGCCTGGGAGACAAACAAATGAAAGGAAAGGAGACAAATGAAAAGAAGTAGGAGACAAATGAAAGGAAGGTGCGAGACAAGCCAGCCGGGAACCCGACCACAAGCACCCAGCCTGGGAGACAAAAAATGAAAAGAAGTGGGAGACAAATGACAGGAAGTAGGAGACAAGCCAGCCGGGAACCCGACCACAAGCACCCAGCCTGGGAGACAAATGAAAAGAAGTGGGAGACAAATGAAAGGAAGTGGGAGACAAGCCAGCCGGAAACCCGACCACAAGCACCCAGCCTGGGAGACAAATGATAAGAAGTGGGAGACAAATGAAAAGAAGTGGGAGACAAATGAAAGGAAGTGGGAGACAAATGAAAGGAAGTGGGAGACAAGCCAGCCGCAAACCCGCGACCACAAGCACCCAGCCTGGGAGACAATGAAAAGAACTGGGAGACAAATGAAAAGAAGTGGGAAAGGAAGTGGGAGACAAGCGGGAACCCGACCACAAGCACCGAGCCTGGGAGACAAACAAATGAAAGGAAAGGAGACAAATGAAAAGAAGTAGGAGACAAATGAAAGGAAGTGGGAGACAAGCCAGCCGGGAACCCGACCACAAGCACCCAGCCTGGGAGACAAATGAAAAGAAGTGGGAGACAAATGAAAAGAAGTGGGAGACAAATGAAACGACGTGGGAGACAAGCCAGCCGCAAACCCGACCACAAGCACCCAGCCTGGGAGACAAATGAAAAGAAGTGGGAGACAAATGACAGGAAGTAGGAGACAAGCCAGCCGGGAACCCTGGGAGACAAATGAAAAGAAGTGGGAGACATATGAAAGGAAGTGGGAGACAAGCCCCAGCCTGGGAGACAAATGAAAAGAAGTGGGAGACAAATGAAAGGAAGTGGGAGACAAGCCAGCCGGGAACCCGACCACAAGCACCCAGCCTGGGAGACAAATGAAAAGAAGTGGGAGACAAATGAAAGGAAGTGGGAGACAAGCCAGCCGGGAACCCGACCACAAGCACCCAGCCTGGGGAGACAAATGAAAAGAACTGGGAGACAAATGAAAGGAAGTGGGAGACAAGACCGGGAACCCGACCACAAGCACCCAGCCTGGGAGACAAATGAAAAGAAGTGGGAGACAAATGAAAGGAAGTGGGAGACAAGCCAGCCGCGAACCCGACCACAAGCACCGAGCTTGGGAGACAAATGAAAAGAACTGGGAGACAAATGAAAGGAAGTGGGAGACAAGCCGGCCGGGAACCCGACCAGACCATCCAGCACCAAGGCGACCATTCTTTAAAGCATTGAGAACCCCTAACAGTAAACTGTTTGGGGAAAAACAGAAGATCAGAACAAAGGAAAATGACGATTTGACTTTATGTGCTACATGTTTCTTTGTTTGTTTTCGTCATGTTTTATGACTCTG